GGGGTAAATTGTAAAAAGATTATTATTTAATATTATTGTGCTTTGTGCAAAAGAAAGAATGACCTAAGGGAAAGAAGCGATCCTTTCGAACTCTCTGAAAATCGCTATGGATAGCTTTTTTGGCTGAATAAAGATTACCTACCTTTATTAAATTATATTTTATAGCGTTTTATGTAATTAATAAATCCTCTTATTGATGTTTCAAGTAGTATGCAGAGTCCCTACTATTTCATAGGGACAGTGGTAATATTTCTTAAACGCTAACAGATATAAGGTTGGTTAAATTAGAGAAAAATTACGCAGTTTTGTGCTTATTAAAATGGTGCCAAGAAACCTTTGATATCTAGAGGGAGATATAAAATATCGGACAAAAAATGAAAATTGTAATTTCTTTAAATTCATTCATTCGTTTTTTGTCAGATATTTTGAATTTCTTTGTAGATATCAAATGTTTTCTGGCACCATTTTAATAAGCACAAAACTGCGCAACTTTTGTCAAATTCAACCATTTTTCTATTTGTTAGCGTTTAAGAAATAGCAATACTGTTCCTGGCTCACGAGCTAGTAGGTACCTATCTAATTGGGAGATTGCACAATGGGCCTAGTAAGGCCTAAGTGCCATGAGTTAACCCACCCTTCACACGTTTCAAATACAGATACTGTCCCTATGAAATAGTATAATGACCCCGTATATACCTAATAGAGAAAATAAGGCCCTTAATGCAGGAGAGGTTATTTAGAAAAGGCACATTGCTGCAGGAAAGGTTCATACCTAATGTCAAAAAAATTCAACTTTAATGATTTGATATCGAATCGACTACTCTAGAGCTATCGAGTTATTTTATCGAGTTTATTGTCGAATTTCGTTGAACGGAATTGCAATTATGGAATTTGAAGTCAAAACAGATAGAATTGCTTTTCATAATTCGATCGAATTATGAATCGTATCGAGATCGAGTTACTCGACACAGAACGGAATCCCACCCCAGAACGGCAAAATTTAATGGTTGGAATTACACTTTGCATCATAGTCGTTCGTCTCATTCAAATTTAACAGCTCTTTAAAATGATTGCCAAATAAATTTTCAAAAATACCGCAGCATTTAATTGAGGCTCAAAAGTAAAGGGGTATAGTAAAATTGGATAAAAATTGGTCTTTAAGTGAAGTGGCTGCAGTAAAAGTTTTACGTTTCGGAATGCTGGCAAGAAGAATAATAATAAAAATAAAGACGATGTAAAATATTATTATTATTATTATTAATCTTATTATAAGCTCAAAATTACAAAATTCAATAACAAAGACAATTAGTAAATAAGTAATTAGCAAATAACATAATACAAACAAAACAATAAAAATAAACTTGAAGGTATATTATTTCAAATATGGAAAACTCTATTACAACTTTTGTCGGGTACGAGTTTTTAAAATTTTCTTTGCTCAACTGATACTCATGTCTAGGTAGGCGCTCATCTGTATTCCGTAGGAGAATACTAGAGTGGTTGGATGAAAAAGTACCATGAGTCACAATTAAATCACCTCTTAATCTTCTGTGGACAAATGAACACAAACTCGCCATGTTAAGCCGTTCTTCATATGATGTTTTGACTCTGCCTAAAGATATTCGAGTAGCGTAGCGTTGAATATTTTCCAATCTTTTTGAACAGAAACCAGATTAGGACACCACGCAGGTCCGACATATTCCGTCAACGGTCTAATGCAAGTTGCATAAGGTTTAGAAATTGTTTGAAAGTTCACACGCTGAAGGACTTCTTTAATAGGTAAAGCATTGAGTTCGAACTTACATACCACTGATATATACTTTGGCCAGGTTACTGATGAATTTAAAATGAGTCCCAGGTCGTTATAGAAGTTCACAGTTGTTAACGCACTACCGTTTAAATAATAGTTCGCACACGGACTGTTTTTTCCTAAGTAAAGCAGCCAGGTGTCACACCAGTTTGAAATAGTTTCAAGATCTTTTTGTAGCTGGGTAGAGCCTGGCACAGGATTAGAGTATAGCTTAGTGTCATCACAGTAACAGGAAATATTGGAATTTAAGACTTTGCCTAGGTGTGCAGCGTATACCAGGAATAGTAATGGCCCTATGACAGCCTTGAGGGACACCACTTATAACTAGATATTCTGACCAGAATAGTTGTCCAACTTTTATCTTGAAGATGCGATTTAACAAAAAATCACTTATCCAGAGAAGTAAAGAGCCGCGAATGCCAACTTTTTACAACTTATAAAGCAGTATTTTTTTGGGAACAAGGTAAAAGGTCAAATATTGGTGATAATCTGCTGAACAACTCTAAATATTCTTTCGTTTTCCTCTATTTGGAGAAGCATTCACAGAACATTTAGCAGATTGATCACTTTATCGTTTTTTATAATATCATGAGTATCGTACCAAGTCTCATCAAGATACACTATGAATATATCTTGCCAAAGAGCTTTATCTATCCTAGTGAGGTATTCATTATGTAAAAACATAATTCTTTGAGATTCCATAATATATAATCATATGCTGTCTTCTAGAGATACGATATCTAAAACCCAAAGAATTGAGCACTTTTGTAGTGGTTGTGTCAGATTTGTAAGGGAAACCAGGAATCAACTTTATTAAATTTTTAATCATTTGAAAATACGGCACGATATTATTAAAATAAAAATTATGAACCTCTTTTCTAATATTCTCCATTATGCAGTGATCTAGACTAACTAGGGATCTTTGATTCCGTTTTTTTTCTTGGAAGACATTCCTGGCTTGTAATAACTTTTCTAATCCAAGGTTTTGAATTTTTTGTGAAAATGGGTATTCTTTCTATGACACCTTAATTAGATCCATTATTTTCCAATTTTAATTGGTGGTACATATTTCGAACAAGTTTTTGAGTTGAGGATGACATCCATATATCAAATTTTTGGTTATTATCATCCTTCTCCTCCTCTAATTCTTCTTTACTTTCGGAAGAAACTCAGATGAGATCTGCATAGAAATATGTAGGGTCAGTTGGGTTAAGAGCGCGTTGTTTGGCGTAAATGTATTAATAAAAAGCAGAATAACAATATTCTAAATACTAACTCAAAAAAATTTAATTTTAGTGTGGCAAAATGCATTTACCCTATGTTTACGGGATCAACAAAAAATTTAAAAATATAATACTAAAATTTATCTTACAGGTATATAAATGCCAATTGCTTGTTTCATTAAATTGTACCATTAACATTGAAATGGTAATCTCAATAAGGTCTCATCTATTTATGTGGGTATTTAAATATTAATTTAGTTGTTTTTGGGTGCAACTGATCCTATTTATTTAAGAAATAGTAAATCAAAATTATAATTATTTACGAACTTTTAGGGATTACATTATTTTCATCACGTTTAAAAGGCCTCTAAAAAGCCAAATTTTTATAAACCAAAAATCCAAACAGTAATGTGAATACAACACTGGATAAACAAACATTATCCATCAACACGGTGATGACACATCGAAGCGTGGCGAAGAATCAATTAGAACATAAGTTGAGCAAAATCACAGACTTATGATCGGATATCGAGGTCAACGTTGACCAGCATTTCTTACAGGCTATCGTGGGCAACTACAAATAGTCAATAGGATACGCTAATTAGTGGAGTACCTTTCGGTCTCGTCGTACAGCGATGCCAGGCATAAAATATTTATGGGATACTATCTTAGAGCATATTTGCTCGAGGGGTACTATGCGCTAAACGTACAGTCGTTTAGCTATAATGGAGTTGAACGCATAAGTCTGGAACAACGTGGTATTCTCCGAAGAAACAACGTCTCAATCTTCTAACATCGAAGGGGTACTAGGTTACTACTAAACTGGGCGTCAATGTTTGAGAGTGGATAAGCGTTAAAGGTCCTGGAGTGTGCTGGAAAATTGATAGGCGTTTAACGCAACGCATTACCTAAACATCTTAAGGTACATTTACATCTGACATTTATTGCATGAGATTTATGTCTGACAGTTATTTAGTCCAGTGTAAACACTCAAAAATATATCTCCGAGAGAAATTTGTGTGTGTTTACACTGGACTAAACAACTGTCAGACATAAATCTCATGCAATAAATGTCAGATGTAAACGTACCTTTAGACAACGTGAGAAATCTGTTTGGTAAATATTTATAATAATAAGCCGGTCGAAGAATGACGTTCTCCTTAGTAAGCAAAATCAAAAGTAGAGTGTTGAAATAGTAGTTTGTGCGACAAGAGTGGATATGATGGCCATATCGCACGAATACAAAATTTGAGCACGAACCCCCAAAGTAAAAAACAATTAATTTTAAAATTGAAAAGGATGTATTCGAATTCTTACATTTTAGCCATTATATGTCTGGAGTATGAGTTGTCAATTTGAATTTCACTCGGTGACAAAATAGTCTTAATTTTCAAATTAACAATTCGAAGTCCGGACATCGATTGAATCGGTGAGTTCGAAAACCGTACATGTCCAAAATCAGCCTTCCGAGTAAAACAATAAAAACCTTTCAACGAGTCACGAATATGTACGGTTTTTCACCTAATTTCACGGGTGTAATCAGTTGTACTACGTTAACGGATAGGTTTCTAGTACGGTTTTCAAGCTTAATCGATGAAGAGACAAATTTTAATCAAAATGCTATCTTACTTTAAAATGTGACATTTTGGACTTGTACGGTTTTCGAACTCACCGATTCGATTGTCCTGATGATCGAGTTAGCAAGGCAGCTGCGTAGAAAGCGAATGTTGAGGGTTCAAATCTTTTCCGGAACATTTTTTTTTTATTTTTTCAAAAAGTTTATTTTTACCTTGAATGTTCAAATATAATTCTCATTATTTCGTAGGGGTAATTTCGAAAAATTTATTTATGAATTTACCAAGAATTTATTTATTTATTTTTTGGAACTTTATACAGATTTCTTCTATTTAGTACATATTATATTTTTTATATTTATTCAAAATAATAATGTAGCTACACCTACTAACCTTTACAAATTCCAGGGCAGTGTAATGTGGATTTACTTGCTCCATTAGTGTGCTGAAAAAATAATAGTTATTTATGTAACGAGTTACACAAAACTACATTTCGTAACGTGTTCTAATTTTCACTAAATTATTTATAAAATGTGTCTAGTAAAAAAATATTAACCATTATTGAATAAAATGGTGCATTTTATATAATTCGATTTATTCGAATGAACATAAGTCTTGCCTGCAAAGGTAAAACAGTATATGTGCAAAAATTCGATTTTTGAATTTCGCGCCTAAACTAAGTTTTTTTCTCGCTTTTTCTTATGCAATTTTTGAATTAGGTCTATCTTTTTTAGTTTTTCAAATAAAAGAGCGGTCAAACAGTATATGTGTAGCCAAACTGATTCTTCTCTCACGGCAAAACGGTATATCCCGCAAAATCTACCAAGCCAGAATAATATATATAACCTTAAACTATTTTATTTAAAATAAATTTAAAAATTACAATGGCAAAAAATAATTGTAATTCATATATTATTTTTCCCTATCTTATATTTTATGATTGGTAAAAATTCTCATAGGTAAAGAAGTATATAGTGTTATATTCTGTTATAGCCTTGATGAATTCTGTAAAAATCTTGAAATATTCCTAAGATAGAACAGTATAAAATATTATATTCAGTTTTACTATAGTAAGGCCTTGAACGATTTTCATGACCTCCAAATGTATATTTGGATATTGGTATTATATACGGTTTTTCCACAACAACAAAAGTTTGCCGGCATAAGTATTTATGTTTATATTGTTTATGCTTTTACCTAATTAAGGTGGAATTAAATAGCAAAATTTAGAGCAGGGTGTCGGCTAGAACGTTAAGCAAATCTTAAGAAGACAAAATATAACGTAAGTACCTATAATTTAATTATTTTTCGTGATTTGAGGTTAGGAACAATTTATTAATTATTGCATAATGCGATAATTCGAAAATTAATGCAAACCATTTCAATAGAATGAATATTTTAGATCTAGAACGGATCAGCTGCACCTGACGCCCGTTTTATTCTCCAAAATATTTAAATTATGTATTTTTATTACAATGATGTATTATTATTATAAAATAATCAGCTAATCAAAATGATATTTTTTAGGAATCACCAGAAATTAGTGAAACGGAATCAGAATCATTAAACCAGTTAGGTAAGTGTTGATTTTCCCAATTTTCAATAATAGTAAGGACACAACAGCAAATATTTATTAGAAATTAATCCAAATATTATTTTTGTATGTGCCTATATTGTTTTCAGCAGATAATATTGCCCCAACGTATTCTTTCCTAAATGACGATAAAATGGATGATTGTGATATTGTCCCAGATTTCTTCGAGTAGCGATGTGTCTAACGAAGACAAAGACGATGAGTCTAATGAAGGCGCTACTTGCAAAACAAAACTTAAAAGGAAAAGGAAATCGAATACTGATTCTGTGAGGAAAATAGTAGAAGTTGCTGATGTGGTGCATCATGTAACTGGAGATTCAGAAAACATCCCTGCCAGTAAGATATTAGAAAGAAACAATCAGCCAACAGAAGAAATGGAACCAAGAACTGAAAATACAGGTTTTTCGAATATAAACCAAGACGATGTACAAATTGAAACTAGCGACGAATAAAGCGAGAATAAAGAAAACAATAAATGAAGAACAATAATAAGATGGATGAAATAATATAAATGGAGGAAACAGAAAATGACCAAGATGATAATACAATGGAAGGCAATAATACCGTGACTGAAGCATTAATAGAAATGGAGCAAACAGAAAATGACAATAATAATATGAACGAAGTAAATCGGAAGAGAAAAAGAACTTTAGAGGAACAAATCAGAAATAATTAAAATAAGCATCCCATTAGAGGACCTTGTAGCTGCAAAATGAAATGCTTTGATAAGATCCCCGTTGAAGATAGAGAACTTATCCATGAGGATTACTAGAATATGGATAGAAATTTACAACGAATATGGGTTGCATCAAATGTAACCGAACAACTTTCAAAAAAGAAACTTCGAGAAGGAGGGAGAAGAGACATCACAAGAAAATATGTGTTGCCGAAAAAGAACCACGATGGGGAAATTACTAATATAAGTGTTTGCCAAAAGATTTTTTTAAATACTTTGGGATATGGAAACGCTAATCTATTAACATCACTAAGGAAATCCTTAACAGATCCAAATGGTAATAAGCGCTTAGTACCACAGAAAGATCAGCGAGGCAGGCATCCTCCGGCTAATAAAAAAGATAGAAATTTGCTTGTTGCACACATAAACTCTTTCAATCCCAGATACTCGCACTATGGAAGGAAACATGCTCCAAATCGTAAATACCTACCGCCGGATCTAACTATAAAATTTATGCATAATGATTACAATAATACCCATCCAGATTCTCAAGTGTGCTATGAGGTTTATCGTCAAACAATAGACCACATGAACATTGGATTTTATGAGGCAACACAAGAAAAGTGTGACTTCTGTCAGGAATTGGAGATTAACGATATTGAAGAAAACCGACAAATTAAAGGCTAACATTTACTAAAGGTAAACATCTGCTTTAATACCCTTTAATTTGATAGTTTTTAATGCATGATTTTTCCAGGTAAAACAAATAAGGAAATTTTATAAGTCAGATCAAGGTATTCCATATGAAGAAGGACGTTGTTTTTCGGCTGACATGCAAAAAGTGGTGCTTCTTCCACGAATGCCTAATATTAAGGAAACTTTTTTCACCTCTAGGCTAGTATGTTATAATGAGACATTCGCGTCTATGCAGAAAAAACGTGGTCGTCACAATTTGTTTTTATGGCATGAGGGGATTGTATAGATGGAAAACTGCACAGGACAAAACAAAAACTTTAATTTCTATTCGTCACTTATTTCGTACATAAATTCACCATATTGTTTAACTAATGAAATTATTTTAAAATACTTAGTAAAGGGTCATACATTTTTGGCTGCTGATGGCCTTCATGGCCGAATTGAGTATGAGAAAAATTAGAAATGTTTACGACTTCAACGACTTTAAACTTGCTTGCGAAAAATCATCTAGTCGTGCAGACGTAACGGTGCTAGAATTTTCTGATTTTCATAAATTTTAAAATATAATTCGAACTCGAACGAAGTTGAATCAAGTTGAATCAATTCCTTATTTCAAGGATATTATTTGTGCTAAATTTGTTCGAGGTTCTACAGATTTTACATACAAAACATCCCCTGAAGGAGATTTTTTAACCACAAGGAACACATTAAAGCGGAGAGCAAAACTAGAAATGCCTCAGGCGGCGGCCACAAACAGACGAATTTGTACCAATAAAAAGCGAAGATTATGACAGAACTTGTTCCCAAAATGCTCTCCAATAGGAAACAGTTTTGGGTTCAGCTTCCCGAAAATAACGCTTCCGCTGATTTAATCGAAGAAGGTCTTTAATTATAGAAAATTGAAAATAATGTACCCTAATCATTTGAGAATAAAGTTTTGGTAAACATATTTGTTGTTTCAATAACATGGTAAAACTGTATATGAATCGTTTATATGATTCTTTCTAAGTTATGTAAAAATAATATTTTATATAAAACGAGGCAAAACAGTTTATGCTACTTTCACAGGACAGGAATTGAAGAACAAAGATATTTTTATTGCAGTAACGATAGAAATTACTTACCTATCTCATGTTTCAAGTTTCGTTAATGTATCTACAAAAATAATTAAAAAGCACAAAAAAAAATAAAAAAAGTCGTTTCAAAACTCACTTTTTTCACATATACTGTTCTACCTTTGTATGAAAGTCGAATATTTTTTAAAATAAAATATTAACGTATGCTTTCGTCTTTGCTTCGGTTCACTTGAATTTTGAATAAAATTGTCCATCTAGACAACAGATATTGCTTTAGTTTGCATTGTTAGTTGCATAACTTTCACTGTTATCGGGTGGTTTTCTTGCTTATTGAAGCTTGTTGGTTTTCAATAAAGTGTTTTTTTGTGGTGAATTGAGTAAAACAGTGTTTTGAACATTTTGTGCCGATTTACGATGAAAAAAGGGGGCGAAACAGAATTATTACTAATTGTAAGTTCACTAACGAAATCTATTTTCCTACGACCACTTAGGAAAGTGACACATATCGCACTATTTAGTCTTACGGAAAGTAAGCTATATCACACGCGTGTGTATAAGAATCTACTTTCCACCAGTGTGTGAATATCTACTTTCCGCACGTCTTTCAAATATGTCAAACTCGTAATTTCTATTTTGACCTACGTAATCTATATTAATAGTAAAATAAAATTGATGATTAAATCGTGAATATTGATTTTTATACCTAGATTCTAGTTATTTATTTTTAACAAATTATTAAAATAATTTTAAAGTATCTAACATTATTTATAAATGTTTTTTGTTAATATATTAGATAATTCATGTAACAAGCTTGTTAACTTAGTTCACAGAGCGCTCAAGTTTATCAACTTTACATGTTTCGACCATATCGTGACGCGAGTTCAATCCCCCCTGATGGAAGCAATGTATTTTTTTTATTTTGAAAAAATGTGAAAATTGAAAAATACGACTATTCTTATTTATTTATTTTAAATAGGTGTATTTTATTTATCTTTAAGTAGCACAGGCATCGCAACGTAATTTGTCTAAAGAGGGGATGCGCGTTAATTTCGAATTTCAATTATCAACGCCTACTGTAATTGTTAAAGAGAGATGCAAACAATAGCCGTGTTGTCGGGGGTGATCAGTAGATGATAATATTTTTTGAATTTGTGTTTTTGTAGCGTGCAGATTTTGAATTATATTTTATTTTTATTTGTTTGTAGTGTTTTCTTTTGAGTAGTGACTTACTTGTGTTAAAATGCCGAAACATTTAGGTAGTCAAGCAAAAGAAATAATATTTCATCTATTCGAATATTTTATGAAAAAAAAAAAAATGTTCCTCGGCAACAAATGGTTTAAAAGAAAAACAACGATTATAGTGAAACTTATAGACAATGTGTTGTGAACGATGATCCCAACACTCACTGAAATTAAAGAACAAGTTGCTGAAGCTACAGGACACTCGGTAAAAACAATTGAACGAATGATTATAGAAGGTGAGATATTAAAAGGTGAAAAGTTTACGCCGACCATACCTAAACAATTGTTTAAAAGTCCAAAAAGCGCAAAAGAATATCAAGTGTAACAGATATTCCATCCTACAATATTGGAACAATCAGAGATATAGTTCATAGATTTCACGAAACAGAAGGTATGCGCGTAACAGTCAAAACTCTTAGTGAAAAATTAAAAAAGGAAATTGGGTGGAAAGGATTTTAAAACAAATTGGGTTCAAGTGGCGAAAAACGCGAAACAACAGAGAGGTTCTAAAAGAATGGCTTGACATCAGGAAAAAAAGAATAGATTATATTAAAAAAATTAGATATTTTCGTTCTCAAAACCGTCCCATTGTATATATTGATGAAACTTATATACATAGTAGCCATACATCAATACATCATCACATAATTGGGGTGATGATAATGCAAAAGGTTTGTTTTCCACCATTTCGATAGGAAAGAGACTTATTATAGTTTATGCTGGTGGTAAAATGGGCTTTATTCTTATCAGTTTATTAATGTTTGTGTCTGGGGCCAAATCATAATGATATGAATCAAGAAAATTATGAAAAGTGGCTAAGAGAACTGTTCATACCAAATTTACCACCAAAGGCTATTGTAGTTGTGGATAATGCACCATATCACAATGTTATAGAAAATCCTGCTCCGAATTCAAATTCAAGAAAAGCTGGAATGATAAACTGATTGACGTCCAACAATATTTAATTTCAACCTTTCTTATTACGACCACAACTGTACACATTAATCAAACAGCATAAAAATAGAATCAAGCAATACAAATTTGATAGATTATTCTCCGAACACGGTCATACAGTTTTGAGATTACCACCATACCACCCAGACTTAAATCCAACAGAAATGTTCTGGGCTGTAGTAAAAAATAATGTGGCTATAAAGAATATTCATTTTAAATTAACACATGTACAATTGTTAGCTGAAATTCAATTTAAATCAGTAACCCAAGAAGAATGGAAAAAAAGATGTGCACATGGTAATAGCTGTCGAAGATAAATATTTAGATCGTGAAATTATAATGGATGACGTTGTAATTTCTACAGTTATTATTAATGTTAATGAAGATAGCAGTGATGGTTCTAGTGATAGTGATGATTTTAATGACGATTTTTCAGAACTCTGTTAATTTGTTTATGTTTATTTTGTTTGATAGTAGTTATAGCAACAAGGAATACAGATTAGTATAAATTCAGTATTTGTTGACCTATATCATATTTTAAAAAAATCCTCGTTGTCTTATTTTAATATTTGTATGCTGAATACTTTCACCACTTCTACTTCACCCTCACATTTTGTTAAGATATCAAGTGCAAAATCAACATTTTTTTTCACCCAATAAATTTTTTTAACAGAATACATTTTAGCTCATAGATAACAAATAAATTTTAACAAATTCTGTAGATTTACATAATTGCGCTTGATCCATTGTGTAGGTAATCTGGTTAATTCCTATAATACCATCAAATGATAGCCATTCTTTGAAACTAGGGAGGACTCGATTTGACCGTTATTAAGGATTAAAATTTAAGGTCATTTTTTTTAAATTTTGTGATTAATCTGACCGTGATCGTTTTTAAAATCCTAGAAAATTTATTTTAAGCGAAAGTAGTATTTGCTACTGAGCTTTAATAGTAGCCAGTAAGATCGTTTGAAGGTGTGTTAGTAGTGCGCAAACTTTACCCCACTACTGACAAATTAGGATGTGATGCCTGTAATCATCTTTAATAATAACAAAGTTCTTGTTCATATTTTTTTATACCTAATATTGTTTTACCGTCATTATCCTATGAAAGTGCTTGTAAATGAAATCACGTTTTTAATTTTGACAAATTACAATAGACAAAATAACTTAAAAATAATTTAAAAAGGCATATAAAAACCAGCCACCTTTATAGCTAGAGTTCCTTTACATTTTTTTGATAAAATTATTTTGTGGTCGTAGGAAATATATTGTACATCATTTGTGTGAAAGTGATTTTAACACTCGTGTGATTGTCGCACTCATCTTATGCCTCGTGCGGCAATATCTCCCACTCGTGTGAAAAATGTCACTTTCCACACTCGTAATGTAATATACTATGTATGTAGCCATCCTTCGATATAAACTTTTAAAAGCCTTTGCTGTATAGTATATATTGATTTTAAAACCAAATAAGTTTATTTTTATGATCAAATTTATGTAACTGTTTACATAAAATAAATGATTTTGACGATTACAAAAAATGGCTCTTTAAATAGTTGTACTTTGAATATAATTAATTTATTATTAGATACTTACACAAAAGACAATGGAGTGCTAGCGTACACGTCTTCTGAGTTTCCGTAATTATCACCACAAATATATTCTTTCAGTTTTGACCTAAGTCGGTACACAATCCCAATAAATATGAATATAATTAGTAATAAGGTGGATAATATTATTATAAGAATTATTGATATCGTTTTTCGTTTGGAAGGTACTGAAAAAATTAATATAAATATCATTTAAAGAATGTTTTCAATAGTCATTAATTAATAGATAGAGCTTTAAGTGAAAAGTGATTAACTGCGTAGAGTTGAATATTCTACACATGGAGGAAGGATTATTCTACATTTAACGAGTACCTCTTGGCGACGTTGTCAACTATATTAAATAAGCTTAGTGAGACCTAAGTGCCGTGGGGTAATGCACCCTCCATATGTTACAGGTATACTGCCGAGGTGATCAAAGATCTAGTTTCATTATGGCTTCTATGCAAAATCGTACATGGACCATCCCGACACCCTCAATGCCAGGAATCAGTGGAACGGTCAAATAAGAACGTTGAAAAAATGCTAAGAATTTGAAAGGAAGAAAATAAAAGTACTCGTTTATCAGTTGACTGTTACTTCTTGAAATGGGAAAAACATACCTCATTTGATCGCATTATTGAGAGATTACCCTTTAAGTTACGGAGAAGATTCGAAGTTAGGTTTAGGATCCATAAATTTTATTTTAGACCTTATGATAAAATATCAACTGAAGAGAATTTGGAATATACAGGGTATAACAAAAAGGTGGGTCATAAATGGAACCACATATTCTGGGGTCAAAAATAGTTCGATTGAACATAACTTACCTTAATGCAAATGTGCACACAAAAAAAGTTACAGCCCTTGGAAAGTAGAATATTTCATGAACTGTTTAACATTTTGTAATGAAAATGGATACATGGCTTTCTTATCATCTTTTTCACATAAAACCACAAAATCTGTACAGCCCATAAAAATTTTAGGGGGTTTTGAACTCCTAAAACCCCCCAAAATTTTCTATGCGTTTCAATTAAATTAGTACTGTGGCACCATTGGTTTAATACATAATTTTTTAAATTTTTTGCCTCTTAGAACTTCATCGAAAAGCCAGTTTTATCTCAAAAATTTTGAAGTTGGCTGTTCAACACTTGTAGTTTCTACGGGCAAATAACAAACAGTTGCTTTAACAATTACGTACTCTCAATTGAAGTTTCAATTATTGTACATTTTAAGAGTGTTGAGAAAAATTAAACTTTTTGTTTCAATGGTTTACAATGATTAGAAATGACAGATATGCATTTAATTCTGGGTAAGTTTGGTCAGGCGAAAACAAGGTTTCAGATAATTATCTGCAATTCTTGTAATCACAGGCAAGGGTAGAGTGCAGCAGCTCCAAGGCGTTATGCGGAAAAATATCTCCATCGGAATACACCAGATAGACGATTATTTCTTTCCATTGATCGTCGTTTACGGGAAACGGGTACTTTGCGACCGCAACTTGCTGATAATAGTGGCCGTCCAAAAATGGATACAAAATCCTTGTAGCAGTACAAGAGTAATATCTGCTCAATTAGATATTGGTCGCATGATGGTTTCGAAAAGATTGAAGGAATAGCAGCTTTATTCCTATCACTTAACAACCATTCAAGAATTACTAGATGAAGATTATCCTAAAAGAATGGGATTTTGCTACTGGTTCTTAACGGAAAACAATCTAAATATCAATTTCGTTAATCATATTTTGTTTACCGATGAAGCTATACCTTCAATAGAAATGGCATTACGAATTACCATAACGAACACAAATGGGCCGAAGAAAATACTTACGCAAAAAGTGACTTTTAAAGCTGTTTGGGTAGGCATTGTGAATAATAATTTAATAGGACCAGTATGTCTTACAAATAATTTAAATGGTGCAAATTACTTGCAGTTCTTACAAAATGATTTACTAGAGTACTTGGAAGAGGTAAATTTAGGAATAAGGCAAAATATGTGGTATTTACAAGATGGAGCGCATTTCGATAACGAAGTTAGGGAATATCTTTTCGGTATGTACTCTTTACGTTTTCGTCTATTTCTTGCCAGAAGTCCATATCTTAAACCTATTGACTTCTTTGCTTCTGGGGTTTCTGATTAAGAAAGGGGCCGTGTATTCTGTTGAAATAATCGACAAACAACAACTGAGGCATCGATTCATTGAAAATGCAAAACGATTGCGTCAGAAGCCAATGATCTTCCAAAAAATTCGGTTTTCCTTTTAAAAACGGTGTCTAATATGTATTCAGGAAAATGAAGGCCATTTTGAACATTTATTATTGTAAATACTACACATTTGTACATATTTTATATACCTGCGAATAACATAAATACTCAGTTATAACTTACTTTTTATTACTCAAAATTTTTGAAGAATAATAAAAAAGAGGCCGAATCTTAATAAAAACTGACTTTTCGAAAAAGTGCTAATAGGCAAAAAATGTAAAAAATTATTGTAACGCATATAGCAGTTTGGGGGATTTTAGCAGTTCAAAATCCCCTAAAATTTTTATGGCCTGTACAAATTTCGTGGTTTTATATGAAAAAGATACTCCTACGATAAGAAAGCCATGTATGTTCAATCGAGTTATTTTTGAGCCCAGAATATGTGGTTTCATTTATGACCTACCTTTTTGTTACACCCTGTATAAATGCAGATATAAATTGTATTAGCGGTGTCAAACAATGTCCATGATCCAGCGGAAGCAGAAAGCGTCGATTCCAGTTTAGAGGACTATATTGAGGAAAAAGTTTCTATACTGTTTCTTTAATTATAATAAAATTCCTCAAGCCCTTTTAATTTTATTAAGAGAAGCCAGAGATTACAGAGATATAACCATTCATTAATAAAATATAATATTCACGATGCCTAGATTAATTCGACAATCGATACACTCTATTTGTAGGGACGCGGCGAGGAGACAAAAGATGAGAAGTAAGAGAGGGGCTAAAAAAAAGAATTTTAGGCAGACACAACTTATTTTTATCAATGAATAAATGTGTAAGCCGCTGTGCGCTTATAATAAACAACATAAATATCCAGGCTGGTGTAAGCACTGTTGCCACTTCCATCCTAATATGAGTAAGTTTTGAAATTTATTGAAAATTATTACATCTAATTTAGCTAAATTATATCTAATTTAATTAAATTTAATATAACTAATGATTCAAAATTTTTTGAGTTCAGTTGCAATAAAATAGGTTGAATTATTTTAGATTTTTTAATATATGTAAATAATTTTGTAAACAGAACAAGAATAATGAAATAGGCATATGATAACAGCGGATATTATACCCTCCTGTATCCCTTAGAATATGTCTTATTAGTAGTTACATCTCCTGTTATCTCTGAGAGAAGCCTATGCCGGGAGTATATGTTTTCGGGACAACGATTTTCAAAATGTCAAATGTCAGCCATTAAAACGTGTGTAATCGTTATGCTTGTTTTAAGTTTAAAAATCTATGTTAACAGTTAGGAGTTTCAAAGGGAAGGGCTGGTATATCTATGCGACATACGATGTATTTTATCTACAACCCGTGAAACCATGAATAATGGATTAAATTTAAATATTTAATCCTAAAAAATGTCCATTTTATTTCGAATAGATACCATGAAAATGACATTTAAAAAAAAGCCTTCTTAAATTGGCAAGTTTTGAGATTACTATTTCGAAGAAAAATTTTTACAATTTTGTTTGTAGTTTGCATTTGACATTACATTATAATTTATATATATTTTCTTTAAGTTGTATGTTCATATTTTGTTATTTATAGAACTAGTGTTTTTTTTTAAACAAATATTTATTAAAAATGTTATTATTACAAATATTTCCTCTTCCATTTGTCTAAAAAGTGCTTAAGTGAATACTATTTGACTAGTCATTTGGCAATTGAAAAAGAGAAAACACCATTTACTCAGGCAGATAGCATTTGTCTAGACAAAAGGCATTTGTATATTCGACCGACAACGCTCTACCCCTTAGAGGTATCGTTAATTGATGAATTTTTATATGGTAACATGGGCCCTTAGAGGGATTAGTTACCGAGATACAGGGTGTCAAAAGTTTACAATCAAAATTTAAAATTTGTCATATATCAAAAACGCCAATTTTTTCCAAATTTGATGACCCATATGCTCTAAAATACTAACTTTTAAAAAATTTAATCACCAGCGTACTATCAAGGTTAGTGGCAATTTTTCCCCCTATTTTTTACGCCACTGGAACAAACATTTTTTTTAACTTTATTATTTTTTTTAATTCCCTGTTTATTTTTACTTAAAAAAGTAAGAATCTCTTATTGAGCTGAAATGACGGTGTTGTAGAAATCAGCTTCTAAACAAAAGTCGTACTTAGATAATTTTTAACGACTTAATATTTCTAAATTCTAATCTAGTAAGCAGGTGTCAAATTATGAATAGTCCATGTATTTGACAAGATCTTGTAAATCAAATTTAAAAAAAAAATATTTAAAGGCGTTTTTAATTTATGGCAAATTTTGAATTTTGATTTTTTTTTTGGCATAGACTCTTTGTCATACAGCCAGTCACAAAACGGAAGAGGTAAATTAACAAACAAATAATAATGAATGAAAAAGATTTAATTTCAAATAACAACAAGAGGATTAAACAGGGACACTCGCTTCTCGTCTAGGGACCCATCGACGCATTACAAAAAAACAGACATACACTAGGTCACGGTAAGGGGGTAAAATAAAACAATAGGAAAGAAAACAAAGGTAACGAGTCTAAGAGAAGTACTAATCACAAGGGTATACCTGCCTGATTCCCTTAAAAAATTAATCAAGCAGTCATAAATGTTTGTGGAATTGGAGGACAATAAACTTTGGATATTCCAAGGGGAACATATTTTGCATTTAAGCAGGTCGTTATATAGCAAATTTTTTGTTTTTCGTACAATTAAAGAAGATATGGTTTAGATCTCCTTTTTCATTACACGTCCCGCATTGGTCACTTTTGGAGACTTTAATTTTGTATAAATGACTAGGATAACAGGGTTGACCAAATCTCATCCTAATGATTGTCGATATGTACTTTCGCGGTATTTTATAATACTTGTGCCAAGGGATCTTAGGAATGTTTAACTGAAGAGTCGTATACCTCGTTGGGTTTGTAAAACAATATTCCTGCCAC